AGACATTAGACAACTGACTGAAATCCAGTGTTTGCTAGTGGTGCAGAGGAAACGCCTTATTTTAAAGCAATTCATTTACAAGTCATTTACATTAAAGAGATATATCCCTGTATACACACTAAAATCCACTTCTGGCAACAGTTTGTGCTTCTACTCAACCTCATTTTAACGAGTGTGTCTACACAGTTAAGCCATTTCTCTCGGCTGTTTTGTCTTGTGCTGCAGTGGTTCCTCTAGAAACAGAGACATCCTGCTGTGAGCAACCGAAAACAATAATATACCTGAAGCTACACCACTGTTCCTCTGCATCATGCAAGAACAGGTAGTGGTATATACGTGTTGTGCTCACCTAACTAAGCAGCAAGACAAAAGTTCCTAGTTTTTTCTACAGAAAAAAACAGAAACACTTGAATGTTAATGAAAAGACAACTTGTATGAAGAACATTTTTGGAGCCCAGCTCCAGAATTCAACACGGAAGAGATGCTGAAAACATGTGGGACGCTCGACTGACACTGCAAAAACTTCTCATAATAGTTACCATACTTTTGTTCACTGTGGGGAACTAAGGTTAATTTAGTGGAACATATTCTGACTGGTTTAGTTCTAACATCATTTTCAGGAACTGTCCTTTCTGTCACAAGCCAGCTGCTACAATGGGAAGGTCAATACAAGTGCCTCAACCCTTCTGCAAATTTGTGTGACGTAGGTGTGACACACACTCACACCCATACGCACACACAGAGGAATGTATCTGTGCCACGTCACACACACTTCTGTGCAGGAACACATGCAAACTATTACTGTCTTCCCTCACGCTCTCCCTGTGCTGCTGCGTTCTGTTGCGTAAATAAAAGCTCGAACCAAAAGCTAAACAAACACTGTGCGATTCTTTAAAATGTCTGCGATGAAAAGCTAAAGCTGACGAGTTAAGTGCTCTGACTTTACCAAGACCTGGCTGCTCACGCTCTACATCAACCACCAGCCCCTCTGCTGAGGTCTGGCTATTGGCAAAGACAAAGAAGTTGCGCGGTGTTTGCTTTCACAATGCCACCAAGGAGGAAATGCCTTGACTGTAGGTGCTGTTCTGTGAGCTCAAATGTCAAATGTATGTCCGTGTTGCCACAGCTCCACCAGTCTGGCCTCCGTGTTTTCTTTTCCATATAATGCGTCTTTTCTTCCTAGTTTCACTTTCCGGTGTTTTGACATTTCACGCAGCCAAGGTGAGAAAGAAAGGGTTGGGGGGAGGTTTGGGGAAATGGACTCTGATACTTCAGGAATTCATCTGACCCCACGACAACTGGTCCGGCTCATCTGATCGCTCGGAGCGAACTGTGCAATGTACAACACACGATGCACAACACAGGATTTTTCCATTTCTACTGATCCATTCTTTTCCACTTTGCTCACAGCTTTCAAAAGATCGTCCGTGTGACATTTCTCTGTCGTTCAGGAGCATTTATTTTCATCTTAGTCACAGTTGTCCTTTTGCACAGCACACAATGGATGGAGAGGTTGTCAAAACTGTGGCTACAGTAGAATAATAATAATAATTTAATAATTTGTGCAGCCTGTAACAACACAATTGCTTTCTCACACTGCACATCACTGATTCCATGTTTTCAAGGCAAAACAATGAGCTAAACATTGAGCTCCAGTGACAAAACACAAGGGATACTCCACTCTGTCCTGCTGAACCACTAAATCGAAGGCTTCCTGTAAAGAAGACTCACACGGTCAAACAAACACTACAGCGGAGACACATGAGTCTCAGCAGCGTGCTGACCCACACATGGCAAACAGCGGCATTTCTCAACTGACTGTGAATTCCTGACCTGGGAAATGCAGCCAACAAAGGAGGCTCTCACACAGTAAATGAATGAACCCTGGTTAAAAACTTCTCAGTGTATCGTGCTGTGTTGAATTCTTATGAACAGTAGCCTACACATTCAGAAATTGAATTAAAGCTGCTGAAGAGTCACATGTAATTATTTCCTACAGCACAGTTTCCTTCTTATCAGTCTTTCAACACAACTCTGAATATTATCATCAGAAGGATTGAAACAGGAAGTTCAGCTGAGCACGTCAACCAGCGAAGGGGAGGTGGGGTCGTCCGGCCTCAGCCGCAGCACATGAGACAATTTTATCCAGCCCACGAGGAAATTAATAAAAACTTTAAATAAAAACAAATAGATGTTCATGGCAGAACAACCTTTTTTCTGTGATAAAGGAAAAGCCATTAATAGTTCAACATGTCTTTCAGGTTGCCCCCCCCCCCCCCCCCGGGGCTGTCGATTGCCCAGGTCATGGTCACGGTGAAAATAAACACGCATGTAACACTTACATGTCATCACTGACATACATCATAGTGGCAAAAACAGACAAGTGGATGTGGAATGTTGGGATTTCTAAGAAAAACGGACAATCAGTTGTATTTGTTGAAGTAGAAGACAAACTAGTGCGCCAATATTGTGAGATCACAAGAATGTTTGATACGTGCACCAAAGTTTACACGTCTGTTTGGGACAATCTACGGCTGTGAACAAAACTTGACTCGTGCAGCTGAGTGAGTAGCATCGTCATCACGACCATCTGATATCAGACGCCTCAGCAAAGACAGTTCTATCCGTTTCAATAGAGGTCAGTGTGATTTACTCTATTTAACAATTTAGTACAGCCCTCAAATATTATAAATATTGAAACGGCCCTGGATTGGAAAGAAGAAGTCCCCACTGATGCATGTCAATGAGGGTTCATTGTTGTGATTATGAACGCGCACACAGGATGCTCTCATGCGCTACCGAGCCGGGTGACAGGTACACAGAGAGGGCAGGTCTGTCTGCCTGCTGAGAACTACATGCCCGTCACGGAACAGCAAAACAGAAACTCCCGGGTTTAAGATGACTTCTACCTGCCAAGGATGGAAAAAAAACAGGTTCTTTAATGGGCCACTGATGCGGCAGGACGGGTCAATAAGCTCCACAAAGAAGCAACAGCGTGGAACGCTAAGTTAGAGCTCTTTTATGTTATTAAAAGATTCCAAATGTTAGTTCATTATGAAACTGTGGTCGGACAAGTTAAAGTATGGCGGGCTGCCACAGTCTGAGTAATTAAGCTTTAAAATGATTTCTAATTCTCTTTCTCCACCCAGTTTTTCAGACAGTCTGAGGTTCTCGGTCACCATCACATCGATCAAGTGTCAAGTCAGGTTGCTTAATCGTTTATTTCTTTGCACATGAAAGCTTAACTTCAGCTCATTGCTGGCTGGGAACACACTTAACTTCCTTTTGTAACGGTTGCAAAGATGAGTGATTGAGAAACGAA